CAGATGAAATTCAGGCCAGGCTGGCCATGCAATTATTAATGAAAATACTAAGCGGAATGCCTAAATTAGAGTTACTTGAACCATGCATATTCTCCTTTTCCACTTTATAAGTTGCAAAGTAGCTTGGATTCAATAATTAATAGGTTTAATCCAACCGTAAAACAAATACTAAGAATTAGACTAGCTATTTAAGTGGGTTACCTACTGTCTATTAAATGGCACTGGTGTCTTGGCAGAAATGATTCAGGCAGGAATTCTAGCAGTTAACAGTCTATTTCTGCTACTCTGGATTTTAGTTATTAACAATATTTGTGAACAGGTACCTGCATCTGAATGATATGGGAACCAACCTGATACTTATGAATACTTTCTACTGTCCACAGACTTCATCCCAGGGCCTGAACCCAAATTCTGGAAGGTCCAATACCAGAGCATGATTGCCACAACCAGATTCCCTCATGTAAATAATGAGTTAGGCCCTAGCTCATAGTTTAATTAGGGCAATTAAACAACGTGGATTCTTAGTCCTAGCTAATGCTATTAATTTCATATTTATAATTCAACACAAAAAAGAACATGCTTTGAAAGATTCCATCATTCAAGAGGCACTCGGTGTGGTTTGCTGCCCTTGTCTCAGGGAAGAGCGAGGAAAGGGAAGTTGTCCCATCCAGCTCGGGCCTAATTGCAACCCAAGAAGCTTGTGGGTTGGAATGTGAAGTTCTTCCCCGCCCCTCCATGGAAGAAGCTCGGCCGCTACTAACCCCAATGGAGACGCCGTCAGCGGCTCTTCTCTTCAAGGTTCCAACTTGCGGCGCAGACGGGACCAGTGCAGTTCCCCGCACACACCTCACGGTTTGACCCGGAGCAATTCGATTACTGATTTTTTCCCCGTTCAGCTTGCAACCGGGACCTTCCACCATATTGGAAGAAAAAGGAAAAACGTATGTCGAAGTTTTGTTCAAATTTCGCGCCGCCGCTCCTGCATGGCTGTTCCGCCCAAGCCGAGGCCACCCCCCTTTTCATAATTGCTTTTGGTGAGCTCACAAGCAGAGTGCGTGGGAGTCCGGCCTGAAAAGAGTTTTTGAACTGCAGGCTCCGGATATGAGTCTTTTTTTCCTTTCTGAAGCATAATATGTGCTCCTTGTCATTCGAAGTTCATGGGCAGCGCAAGCAGTCGAATTCCTTTTCTGCCAGTAAGAAAGCGAAAATAACTTCTCCCTGCATCCAAGTTTTGGATTGCTTCAGGTTACAACTTAAATTAAATACCTCGTTGCAGGCTGTTTCCACCGTTTCTTTTGTATTGTAAAAGATATCGAGAAATTTTTTTTCCAGTAAAGGTCATCTCAGTCTATTCTACCTTAACAAGATTGTTGTAAGGAAAAAGGAATGTGGCTTATAGTCAGAAGAAAGGTGAAGATTACAAAAAGGAAAAAAAGAAACTTTTAAAAGGGGAGCAATTGAAGCTGGCTATTTTAATTGGGATCACATTGTAGGAAAAAGAAGTCCAAGCTTTACACTTTGTAAAATGTTCAATCTCATTTCTCCTTTGCATTTGTTAGACCAGTCTCCCCAACCTACTTCTTTTAAATTACTTTGAATCAGGCTTTCTGGTCATACTGATGTATGCTCCTAGGAGGGACAAAAAATGGGAGAGTTTCCAGATAAACTCTCAACAGAATTGTTGCAGCATCCCCATGATTTACATGATCAGAATTCAGACACTTCACTCATATTTCTGATTATTTCAGTGTCTTCAGTCATGTGATCACCTTTCTGGATTTTTTTTTACAAGCAAAGCCAATGGAGAAGCCAGATTCAATTAACCATGTTACTAAAAATCTGCAGTGATTCACTTAACTTGGCAAGAAAGTACCTAAAGTGGGGCATAAAACTCTTGCTTAGCAACAGAAATTGTGGGCTCAGTTGTGGTCATAAATGGAGGATTATCTGTATTTGATAGTTTTAATATGTGTCATAATGCAATTCATTGTATATGTAAGTATAGTTTATGTTGTATTGTTTTGACCACGTTTCTTGTTTCTGAAATAAGATCATAAAATACTTTCCTAGATATTCATATATTGTGGAAAATCAAAGTATTCTATTTTTTACAGAAGATTTATTATACTGGAATGTTTGAAGCAAAGAGATCTCAAGTTGCCACAAAGATTATTAGAAATTTGGCTGTCACCAGCAATATTCCAATATGCCTTGGGTGTGAGAAGTAGCATTTGTAGAAATAGTACTGTAATCTCATCCCATCAAATGTGACTCAACTTTGGTCAAATGTGCACTAAATCTAGTCTTAGAATAATTGAAGAGCTGTCCTTCTCTGCATGCCTGTCATGATGCTCTTCAAGAAAATTTAGACTGTATGCTTCCTCACAACAAATAGTTGCTACATGGACAAAGAAAAAGTGCTTCTGCTTTTCCAGAACTTACAAAAAAACTTATGGATGCTTCCAAATTGATAGTGTGTAGTGCTATCAGTTAAAATATGCTTCACAACCTACATGCATGTGAAATGGAAAAGGTAGGATAACATGAAAAGCTTACAGACAGAAGATAATGTTGCCTGTGTCTCTTTCACATTTCATGAATGATGTGAGGCATTTTGCACAATAAAATGAAACAATATTTAGGATGTCAGTCATCCATTGTTTTGCTGCAGGAGATGAACAAAACTGCCCTCCAAAATTGCTGCAATAAATATTTTTATATTAATAAATATCCCAGAAGGACAAAGGTCACTTTATAGCACTATTATTACTTTTACTGATGTCACTGTTTTATATATATCACTTTGGTGCCTGTTCTTACTTTGGTTTACAAATATGCATTATTCTGCACAAATATGTAAAAAAAAATTGTATAATAAGTTGAGCTGATATTCCTTAACTGAATTTACTTTTGCTAATAGCAAAATAATTGTAATCCCCATGGTATTCATATATAACTGGAATAGTGAATCTGTCCATTGTGTGATCTTTTGGACACTAAAAGGTCAACGAAGCATTTCTTATTTCAGATTTGATGCAACAGAGATAATTTCACAGTAAAAAATTGTACCCCTAGTCCTCACCCAGAAGTGTATACCATTCAGCCCTCTCTTGGCACACTTGAGGTTGCGAATCCCAAAGGTATCTACAACAATTATTGTACATGTACAGTACAATTTGTACATACTGTACAAATACAGTTAACTGTATTGCCGCTCTTGTGACATCCCAAATAATGACCTTTTCTAGACTTTGACAGGCTTTCTCTATTCAAAACCTAGAACTGTGGTTCTGATGTAAGTCAATTAAACTGAATACTGACAGACACATGGTACATGGTAGATATTCTACTATATTACAACTTTTAAAAAGACATTGATTATAAAAATGTGTCTGCAATTGAAATTAGAGTAAATATGTTAACTTCAGATGATTGCTCAGGGAAATTAGAATTCCCTATCCACTGTCTGTAAATGTGTTTAGGACATACCTTATAGACCAAGCATATGCAGTTACAACAGTAATGAAAAAACACTGCAATCAATATTCACAGGTCTGTAAAGCAAAGAAAAGCTAAAATATGATCAGAAGCACAGTTGTGGTTTCATCTAGCAACCACTTCACTTAATGACCACTGGTCCCAATTGTGGCTTCTAAATGAGGACTGCCTATACTAGGATATATATATTCTTATAAAAATCAGAGGCAAACCATTACCAGAAAAGCAATCATTAAGCGTAGTTAAGAATTCCCAGTCTGAAACCAGTGATAGAAACCTTCCATTGATGACTGGCTTACTGCCTGTTCTTTTTACATTGTTGCTCCGCAATATATTTTCTCTCTTTTTGTTTTCTGATGCCATCCAAATGCCTAGATTCCAGGTGCCTGGTTGCAACATTTTATCAGCTGCTTGCATATGTGCAACACTTCATTTTAATTAGCCTCAAGATCTAAGTCTCAGATGGAATAGCAGGGGTCCCTAATTATCATCACAAATTAGTGATCTGCCCAGAAAATGAGGAATGCATAAGGCATTAAGCTGTCAGAGGCCAATGGTACAATTAAGAAGAATAGCTGAGAAAGTAAAAGATAAGGAAATCGTGGTTTTTTTTAAAAAAAAAACTTCAGCCAGATCTCAAATTAGTTTTAGTGGTTTGTGTTTATAAAACATTTTGACTGATTTTTCACACTGTAAGTCTACTCTGTCTTTCAAAGATATATTTGATACCATACATGTAACACATATATTAGAATTATAAGAATATTTATGAAACAAGTTTATTAATCATGAGACATCAGTAATTTTTAAAAGTGTTGCCTAGTTGTGTAATGGGTTCAAAAGATGGAGATATTCTCTATCTTTACAAGCTGGACTGCAATGGGCAGGAGAATAGCTTACAACCTTCCTGCCTCAGTAGTCTACCAACATAGCTGACAATCTGTCATGATGTTTGTAATACTCAATACATTATGACCATGTAGCCAATCACATATCAGCAACCTCCCCAACAGTGTTGCAGTGTGAAGACATCTTCACTGTCCACTTCCAGTTGGCGTAACTCTTCTAATATGTGGTCTGTTACTCTCTGACAGGAATGTCTCATTGAAAGAACATAAGTATGGAATGTGCACATTTTGGCTTCAGATGCTATAAGTAAGCTTTCCCGAGTCCTTACTTTTCACTTGTGAACTTTTACCTGTGGTTGAAAATTGGAGAGGCAATGTTTTCCATCTTGCTAATATGGCAGAATGTCTATATCAATATCTGTAAATATTTTATCTTTTTACAAATCTCTGATTTAGAACCAGTGTCCGTGGATTATGTAGAACTTCATATAAACTGTTTAGTTTGCTCCTTATACATTGCTAATATTTTCTGATCTAGGGAAGCATGGAAGCCAATAGTATTTTTGTGCGAATCGCAAGCTAAAATGAAATATGTGATCATTATGAAAAACATGACATAGGAGTACACAAGAGAACTTTTTCTTCTTCTTTTAGGATATTTTATGGTGATAGCTCAGTCTTCAACATTCTTACCTGGAAGTAAATCTCATTGGAATCACTAGGATTTATTCTGGGTAAGTGTACCTGAAAGTCTATATCTTAAACTACATATGCCAACCTGGTTACAAACATAGTATCTATTTTTCCCATAAGTTAAAAGTACTTAAAATGACATAAATGAAAGAGCAATCCATTTTTCTACTTTTAGTGGCCTGGTAAGGAAATGAACTCATCCATTCTTTTAGCAAGTGTGCCAGTGAGAGAGAATTGTGGCTAAATTAAACAGTAAAAAATTAATTATTTTTCAAAGCTTTGAGAAATTGAGTATTAAAGCTCCTGCCCATGTGATAGCGGTTCATTATAAGTAGATCACATTTTCAAATAAAGGACATGACATAATTTTAATTATAGATGCAAAGACTGGACTTGACACAGGGTCTTGAAAGATCTTGGAAGCAAATAAGAATTGAAGTGATGTAATTGATAGTGAATCTCTAAACTGTTAGCCATTGTTAATACTTTGAAGAAAAGTCCTCTGTAGGTCTTAAAACTTGCAAGTGTGAATAGTAATGAAGATCTGAGTGCTAATCTTTCCTTATTCCTATACTTTGTGGAAAATATCTGATTTTAATCCCATCTAACTTATTTCAGGTATATCTGATTATGTAAAGCAGTGTATCCATATTTGGTCAAATGTGGTTGTCCTGTCACTTTAATCCATTTCTATTATGATGGGAAAGTCAAATGTAATCCCATCATATAATTAATGGGATTACAGTAAATGCAATCCCATTACATTTAAAATATTTTAAAAACTGTTTAGGCCCAGATTTTCATAAGAAACATGTCAGTCAGAGATCTGGAAATATTGTATTATTTCTGAAACTATATGTAGTCGTTGTAAAAGAAACTATTGAAGCACATTTCTATAGGTAATTTTAATTTATCTTCATTTTTATTAGCAATCTAAAATGTACAGCAGCATGAATGATGTTAGTATTATCTAGTAGCCATATTGCCAACAGGTACACCATAGCGAAAATATTTACTGGGCCATAAATACATAAAATTAAACAGGATATGAATATACATTGTGTAAATGGAGGAAACAAGGTTTGCTAATAATCTAATCAGTACTGGTGGTATCATATGCAGTCTTCTATTTAATTGATCACAGCCCATATATCCTCATTATATAGAAAAACGTCAAGATGAACTCAGCTTTTGAATATTTGACTTCGGGATTGTGTTTACATCTAAATCCCCATTGCACTGAGATGGAGTGTGAGTGCCTGTCCGATAAGACTTCCATATAAACTGCTTGATTGACAACACTATAGTCCATAGCCATAGGATTGCTAGATTAGTAATTCAGGAGTATCTGGAGAGTTCTGGCTATCCCGTCAGGCCTGGGGCTAAGATTGTAACCCGCCCGAATGGTATGAATGTTGTGTTTTAATTATGTATTGTCTTATATGTAAAAAATCAGTCAAAATGTTTATATGGAA